TATTATATTTAAAATATCAAAATCAATCAAAAAGATAAATATCTCCAAACCCTGCATTACACACATCCAAGCAATACTCAAGACTCTTTTTCCTTGGCTTTTAAGATTATTTAAAAGCAACTTGGCTCAACTCTACCAGAGAGGAAAACTACCTACCTAGCCAAATTTCTTGAAGGGCCTTTTTTCCCCCTAATCTATAACTTCCACTCTAAAACTCTTAGTTCTAGATTTTTTTTCTTATAATTCCTCAGAAAATTTTCTATAGTTACTAATGACCTCTTCCCGAGTGAAACCCAAGTGTGGCACGGTGGTTATGCACACAGGCTTATGAACCAGACTGGCTGAGTCCAGTTTTTGATTGCACAAGCCATCTGACCTTGGGCAATCTGTTTGACCTCTCTCCGCCTCTGTTTACTCCTCTATAAAATGGAACCCATTATAGGACTTTTCTCATAAGATTGCTGCAAACCAACAAAGTTAATGTTCAGCACACTGCCTGGCCCGCCCTAATTACCTCAAACGGCCTCTCGGCAATTCTCATTCTTTCTTGATTGCTTGAAGAATCTAACAACTGCCAAGCTGTTTCTTGAAGCCCTTCTTGCTTTGAGTTTCTTTGACTCACTGCTCTCCTGGTTCTCTTGCTTCTCTTCACGCTTCTCAGTGTCTGTCTTTTGTCCTTGTCTTTCCTCAGCCCGATCATCATTAACTCCTCCCCATCTCCAGGTTCAGGTCTATCCACATCATTCCTCTCTCTTTCTTCACTACCTTGAGAGGTCTCACCTGCTCACGTGGTTAATGTAAGAGCATTTAACAAGATTTTAAAGAGTCTGCATTCTGAGGCAAGATGTCCAGAGAAACCGTGATACCACACAGTCTTGGTGGTGGTAGCTACGGCAATACACAGCTAGCTTAGGCTGTCATTGCCAAAACAGGCACTGACATCATTTCAATATTCTAATAACACATGCTGCCATGCTGTACCACTGAGCTTATGCAAGAGTAAGTTGTACTGGCTGCTCAAGACCCAAGCAGAGAGAAGGCAAAAATGAGGGGAAGGGGGCAATCAGGAAAACCATAAATGTAAATTTACAGTAAAAACATGCAAAAGGAACAATGAGAGACACCTGGGGTGTGAAAGAAAACACAAAGAGATGCAATCTTTGATACAGAATGCCGCAAGAGGGGGCAAACTCAAGTGCCCACAGGGGCTAAAAAGCAAGCTAAATGAATAACGTCAGCAGGCTGTATGACAATAGGGAGTGGTGGGGGCTGTGGCAAATTGAAGACTATGTCTAAAGGTAATCACATTCAGTTTTCACAAAGTAAACATTACAAGCCAAACAAGTCACAGGCCCCCACTTTTCTTCCTCTGAGTAGAGAGAGACAGGCAATGGTGTCATTGTCACCTGTCCAATGGGACTGACTAGCCAAAATTTTTTTTAAAAAACGTATTATTTTACTGGCTAAAAGCTGCAAGTGAGACAAATCTGCTTCACAGTCTGATTGCATTTGTTGAATGAATGTTATGATTCTTCATCCAAGCATGGATCCACCGCTTGTCTCCATCACAAACCAAAATAGTGTGTTCATGGATTATTAAGACTCATTTATTGGCTTAAAAATAAAAAGATTCATTTATTGGCTTAAAGTGATCCACATCCTGCCAGTATTACCCACTAAATGATTTTCTACACTTGAATGGGCTCTCTGAGGTAATTGCAGAGAAGTGAAGTTCCAAGATGTCCCAGGGACAAAGACACTTATCCTGAGAAGTACTTGTAACTGACATTTGAAATGTCCCCTTCCAAGATGTTACGTCGTGACATGAAGTTGTATGTTTCTTGCCTGTCTATTGCCATCTGGTTTAAGTCAAAACATACCTTTGTTTCTACATCCTTGACAACTGAAAGATGACAGTTCTTGTGGCCCTGAAAGATCATACATCTGAAAGAGCGGGCTGAATTCAAGCAGGCCTCAACACTGCAAGCTCTGCTTAAAATGAAACCACTGAAACATATCCAGCATTGTCCACAAGGAGGCAAACAGCTATTACTTTCAGGAGATATTTATTCATTATCTGATCATCTTATCTCCAGACTTCCTGCTGCTGCAAAATCAGTTCAGTTCAACATTTATTGGCCATCTACTATGCATCAGGCACTGAGCTTGATTTGGGAATTTAAAAGATGAGGCAACTGTCATTGCTGCTGAAGACCTTACACTCTAGTGGGGGAGATGGACATGGACACCTGCTATTTCAATATAACGTGGTAAGAGCTGTCACATAAGGAGTGCAGAGGGGCTGGGCACAGCTCAGTGGTGCAGCGCATGCTTAGCATGCACGAGTTCCTGGGTTCAATCCCAGTGCCTCCATTAAAGAGAGAGAGAGAGAAAGGAAAGTACAAAGAGAGAGTTCAAGGAATGGGGTCAACAGTATCACATTCAAAAAAAGAAATGTGGAGAGAGTGCTCAAGGTGAATGCAGAAGCAACCCTGGGCTCAGCCTCCTAGAAGAAGGAAAGGAAGTTAGCAAAGACTTCCTGGAAGTTCATTTTTAAAAATAAAAAGCTGCACCCCAATGAAAACATGAGGCAACTGGCCCAGGTAATAGACAACTCAGGTAAGTACACTAAGTCACCACCAGGGGCGGCACTGAGGACCTCCCTGTGCTTCGGGACAGATTTGCCCTGACTCCGTCCTACATTTTTAGTATTGAGTGAAAGGATATACTGCCTCTAATTCTTTAAAGAAGTCAGATGACTTCCAAAAAAGCAGAAAACAGTGAAGACACATAAATGGAAACACAATCCTGGGGTCAAAGAGATGCTGCTCTCCACGTGGTGAGGGAAATTACACTCCTGTTTCCCTTCCCACATTGAAGGTTTGGGACTGTATTCATAGGGAGAACGGGCAAAGGGTGATGACTACGGAGAGAGAGCCTGCTTCCTCCCCAATCTCCACGACCACAAAGGCCTGAAAATCTGCCATTTCGGGATTAAATTTATTTAGATAATCACCACTGCGAAAATTCTATATAAACTACATCTCCAAACTATATCTCCACCTTAGTGCAAATTTCAGGATGGTCTTATCATGGAGAAGAGTGGTTAAAAACACTCCAAAACTTGGAGAAATCTCTGTGTAATATGTAATATTTAGTAACTTAACCCACTCACATCATTTCTTAATCTCGGTCAAAGATCAAGTCTTTGAAGAAATAACTGCGGAATGGTTAAATATCATGCCCTGTTATCAATATCTGATAGATATTTTAGACTCTGTTATCAGTACCTGAACTATGAGTATCAGTATTCACTGCAGCAAATTATTAACCACTTTCTTAGAGGTAAAGTGCCCTGTAGCTTCATCCTATTAGTGGTTTTTCTAAAACAAATTAAATGTACTATTACCATTTGAGGAATTATTCTCACACACCACTGCCCAAGTTACACGTTGACAATTTTAATCTCAACAATTTAAATCCCCTATCATCCTCACTGAGTAAATGTAAGGCCACAGAATGGTACTACCTAATCAAAACAGTGTCTTTGTTACTCTTGATACCATTAGATATACATTAGCTCCAAACGAATACATGTACATTCCTATATGACTGAAGTATTGTGCTGTGCGCCGGAAATTGACACAACACTGTAAACCAACTATACTTCAATGAATATATATACATATACATACACATACATATATATATAAAATACAGCAAGTTGTAAAGAGAAACAGTTTTAAAGGATTCCGAAATGATGCCAAGTACAATGTTACAGCCAAGAGTTCTATGATGTACCCATATCAGAACCATGCAGTAGCCCTGTGAACAGAGACACAATGTAATTTACCCAGAAATAATAGAGTTACTTGCTAAAATATGTATTGCTGCTTTATCAGCAAAGAACTGAATTTAGATGAACTTGTAAAAAACAGAATCAGAAAACAATTTCTCACACACCACCCTCTGCTCTTTGTTTTCAAATAACATATATTCAACATTTGCTACTAAAGCTTTACTTTCCATCTTAGAATAAAATGATCTTTACACAACTCTGGATAAAAGTGTTGATTGTAGTTTAAAAAGTTCATGAGTATTTTTCGATAGTTATTTTGCATGAGTACTTTTGCCGTTTGGTATGAAATGAAGTTCCTAAACCTTCACTGTAAAACTAGGAATGCTGAGAACACGGCTATGAATGTAGAAACAAGATGATCAACAAAGCAAAGGTCGGGGGTAGGAGGAAATTTAAGAATACTGCACACCTACATACATCTCAATATCATATTTGCATTTATAGGTAGGCAAATCTGGTAGCCATCTCTTTTACTCAGGAGCAGTTGTATGCATTAGACTTGAAAACAGAAAACCCACATTCACACTAAGAGCTTATTATTATGTGTGTGACCTTAGGCAGATCCCCTGACCTCCCCAAGCCTTGATCTTCTCATACAGAAAAGCGAGGCTGATGATACACAGTCAGCGGACTACATTCAGCACTTGAATCAACCATGTGTGTGAAAGCACGGTTTCTCAGCAATCAGTACTTCTAGTTACCTTTGAGTGCTCAGCTTGCATGCCACTACAGCTGCCAACAGGTTCTGACAGATCTTTAAGTGTAATTTTATTTTCAGTTTGAACTTTTTCCTTCCCATGCAGATGTTTCATTTGGAGCCACTCGCCTAATTTACTGGGATAATAACGAACTCAATCCTTACTCTATGGAAAACTCTCCTCTTTTTATCCTGCTGCCAACTGGTACTTATGCACAGGCTCACCACTGAGTGCTGCAGTCCACTGGCAAGAACCACTGACTAACCCGCACCAACTTAGAGCCACTGGCCCATCATCCTAGGCACCTTCCCAATGACGATTCTGAGCCCCCCTGGAAGCTCAGCAAAATTCACCAAGCGGCCGCAAGAACCCCATGCGTGTTTGAATCAATACCAGCTTTAGCCACCAGAACATCTTGACACCAATACGTTTTAAAAAGTTACCTCGTTCACACTGGGGTCCAGTAAAGCCGTACGTGCACGCGCATCGATTTGGGGCCACACACCTGCCTCCGTTGAGGCAGCCGCTTTCACAGACAGCTGTAAAATAAGGAGACAGGGGCTGAGAGGCGTCACCTGACAGTAGCTGCTAATGAAGTCACACTTACTGTCCCCTGAAAAGATGGTAATAAAAGACCTAAACAGTCGCCCTGGTATTTGTTTTCATTGGTTACTGCGCAGTTGCAGCTCCCCAGATGTTCCTCAGTGAACTCAGGTAAAACTCCCCCAAACAGGTGAGTGTCTACCTGTGTGAATGCTGACAATTCCACTCCAAGAAGCAGCTGAGCAATGCTTTCAGTTTTACCAATCTAAAATGGTTTATAAGGGACACCCCTGGATGAAGACGACCTTTTAAAGGCAAGCTGGGGATGGGGGAGCTATAGCTCAGTGGTAGAGAGCATGCTTAGCATGCACGAGGTCCTGGGTTCAATCCCCAGTACCTCCATCAAAAATAAAAAACTAAAAATGAATAAAAACCTAATTATCTCTCTCCCCAGAAAATACATCAAGTTGTAAAGAGAAAGATTGGCCCCTCGACTGTCATCCTTACAGAAACACAGCATGTTAAATTGCACAATTAACTGCAAATGACAAAACATGAATACTGACATTTGGTCATTTACACACCAGGATGAAGACCCCATTGAGTGTCATGACAGAATGTGGAAAATATCGGCATGTCCAGAGATCCTCGAGGGAAGGACATTTTACTTGTTAAGAAAGGCATTGAAGTAAGATCTGAAAGCTCACGCCCTGAACAACTCTTCTCTGTACAACTCCCTGCCACTTGCTTGTGGCATGGCCTCTTTCTAGGCATCTTTATCCACGGCTGGTAGGCTGTCCCTGCCAAATGTGCCAGTCCCACCCACTCTTCCAAGCCCCAGCTCAAACCTCACTCTTCCGTGAGGCTTCCCCAACACCTCCATTTAAATTCACTCCTCCTTCAGGCGTTTCCCACACATTTTTCCTGTGCCCGTGTAGCAGGCACGGAGCTGAGCCACTTAGATCTCCCTCCAAGAAAACCTACTGTGAGGAGCTTAGTTAGCTGACAGCCCCCAGGGGCTGCACTTTTGGATCCACTACAATGTTCACACCAAGGACACCCTCTCCTGGATGCTCCCAACCAGCAACTAAGCATGGTGGGGTACTGGAGACTGGGCGTGTCTGCCCAGGACGAAACTACTCTGACGGGCAAACTTTATTCCCGGCTCCCTATCAGCCTGGCCAAGGCTTTCTTTAAGGCTCGCTCTATAGTCTGAGGCTCCCTCTGCACCATCGTAATAGTCTTCCCTTCCTTCTCTCCTTGCGCAGGGGTCTGATTTCCATGGTGGTCTGAAGGTTCTCTCTTCTGACTCTTTATTCTTCACAGGCTTTTACCCCCAATAAATCTCTTGTGCATCTGATTCTGTCTTGGCATCTGTCAGGATCAGAATACCTGAACTGAGACAGCCCCTTACAGCCAAGAATTACAGCAGGAATCACAAAATTAAGGAGGCTTTTGTATAATCGTTTTTCTGATTAGCCTCTTAATTTACAGTTAGGGAAGGATGAAGAGGGTCTAAGCAGAAAAGAAATTTTGACTTTGCCTAAGCCAACCCTCCCATTTCACAGAATAGGAAACTGAAGTCTAGGAAAGGTTTTCTGATTCTGCAGGGGTTACCTGAGTGTCTGCTGTGCACCAGGCTTTGAGCTCAACTCCTGCTGGGGGCATCAAAGGGAACAGGAAGGTCCCACAGTGGCTTCTCCTGATCTCCTTCTGAAAATGCCTCTGAACCCATGCCCATCCTACCACCTCTGTAACCAGCACCTTAATACTAGTCTTCCTGCTTCCTGTGTCTTCCCCTTCAAGTGCAGCCTCTGCACTGTGGCCACAGTCATCTTTCTCATTGTAAAACACTGCAGGTGAAGCATATGAGGCCAGGACTGTAGCATTAAACGCGTGGGCTGTGAAGTGAGGTTGCTGGGGCTCAAACCCCAACTCTACCAGTTACTCCCTGGACGGCCTGAGACAAGATACTGCAGTCCCTGTGCCCCGGCTTCATCATTTCACAGACGGTAATAAAGTCCTCCAACTCAAAGGGCTGTTGCTACACTAAATGCACTAATCCATGAAAAGAGTTTCAAAGTGTGCCCAGCATATAGTAAACAGTAAATAACTCCACAGATGAACGCTGTTGGCTGCTGTTGTCTCACTCCCCTTCCCTGGCTCTGCGCTGGGAGAAAACATGGTACAGGCACTCCAGACCTGGTCCATGACTTCCGTTCTGACTTTGTCTCCCTTCCCATCACTTCCCTCAGCACCTGAGTTCGGGTAACATCAAAGCACCTGCTACGTCCGACATCCCGTGCTCTGACATGCTCTGGTGCTTTGGCCTATGCTGTGCCAGCTGCCCAAAAGGCCCATCTCCCATCACCTGACAAGTCAACTCCCACCCATCCCTTAACACTCCGCTCAAGGGTCTCCCACACCGGGGAGGCTAGCCTACCTCTCCCTCCCTCCATGCTACTGCAGTGGGCTGCAAAAAACTCAGTCGTCATTCTCTGTGCATTGCCAGTGTGCAGTCAGCAGGGCATCACCCAAACTTTGGTCTATTTATCACAGCATTATTCATCACAGCAAATACATATACAATGGCAAAAATTAGAAACCACATGCTTAAACGCTCATCATCATGGATTCACTACATAAACAGTGAAACATCCATATAATGGAGTATTATGCAACCATTACAATGTATTTTAAATGTTTAATAACATGGAACATACTTCTAACAAAATATTAAGTGAAAAGTCCTATGAAAAATTATGACTACAATTATGAATACAAACTTCATGTACCAAATATGCACTTAAAGACTAGAAGGTGATATCTGGAACAGCAGGACTGCGGATAATTTTATTTTTATATTTTTAAACTTATCTGAATTTTCTGCGGAGTATATATATTCATCTTGGTTTAATAAAATCATAAGCTCTTTTAAGGGAATTTTCATCACAAAGCACCAGGACTGATAACAGAGTAGACACGCAGTAAACATTTTTCATGAACGAACCAACACTGACCAGCAGCTTGCTAAGTATTAAGTACCAGAATCTAGACTGGGAAACTAGAGAGACCCAGACACCACTCACCAAGACATAGGACGTGAAAGGTGACGTTGAGTTTTGAAATACTTTATTGGAGATACTTCTTGAAAACACAGGTGGAGATGTTCAGTAAGCAAATGGAGTAAGCAAGGATTCTACACCTCAGGTGGTAACTGTAAACCAGAGGTGAGGTAAGCAGGATGGTGGAGGTGAGTGAAAGAAAAATGAATCAAACAAGAGTGACTGGACATCTGCAAAAATGCCGTGTCCCAGGTAATCAAAGAAAACCCACCAGCACTTATCTCTGTGTTCTCTTTGTCTATACAGGTTACCATCTAGACCACTTATGACTATGGTTACTTACGCTGTCCGCAGTGGGTCCCTATGTATCCCTTCTGGCACAGACAGTGATCATCACTGCAGCTACCTCCATTCATGCAGCGAATATTACAGTGCTGGACTGGAAAAGGAAAACAAGAGAGACGGATTTAGCTTTGCACTTTAAGGACACAGACTGCAGTCGTTCACAGGAGTTGATTTGTAGTGATTTGAAGAGAAAATAAAATGGTTTATCAAGATCTATGTATTTATGCAGAAATAAACTGACAATGCTAAGCACGTTATCTTTTGTGTCCATAAAATCATTTACAACGCAATGTCATTGTTTCTACGATATCTAATAGCACTAAATGACTTCCCTCATTTAGCAGAATTTAACCACTCAACGTGATTTCTGTCATTTATACCAACAAGAAAGCAGTGCCTCAGGTAACTAAATGAGACAAGATGACAATGGCAATACTTTCCTGTTAAAAGATTCAGAGTCCCAGGTAGGTGCGCCAGAAAACAGTCAGAGTGACAAATTCCAAGAGATTTTGTTAAAAGAAATTTTGGAGGCAGCAAAAAGAAAGAAGAGAAAATACCTACACGGCACTTAATAATAAGACTTTGATAATGGAGACAGTTGGACTTGGCTCAGAAAGAGCTGCTTGTTTAAGCTGTAACCTTAAACCAACTAAGACCCACAGTGTTTGAAATCCACTCTTTATCATGTTGTCACCTACAGAAGTGAGAGAGAGCCTCAGCGCCCAGGGCAGGACGACCACGAGCAGGCTGACTGGGACCTGAGGCGATGAGACGCTAGAAGGAGCCGGAGTGACAGACACCTGTGAGCGAGCAGGACCGCACAGCGTGTGCTCTGGTGCCTCTAGGTTTAGGCTGCCTCCGCTTCGGTAATTTAGGAACTGAAGGAACATGTTCCAAAGCCCAGGCTGTTCCTCAGTCCTCTAGAAACAATTAACTACCTTACTCGGAGAAGGCTGAAGACTTGATCCAATTAAGCCTTCATCATTGCTGACACATCCCTGTGTAAGGAGGCCAGGATCGGGCATGGAACTTTGGCTTACTCTGTCCTGTCCTCCCAGCTGGGAGAGTAAATTCCTAAAGAAAAAGGCTCAACGATGTTACATAAGGAGCAGCAAAGCCCTTCTTCTGTGTAAGAGCAGCGATTAGCTGCTCATGCTCGCTCTTGTGCTCAGCCTCCCTGGAGCACAGGGGCCAGACCTTCTCCCAGGAGCAGGGAAAAGACTGCTCGCAGTAGCCACGTTCTTCAGCATCCCGCGTTAGGATGCTCAGTTCAGTATCCCAAAGAGGCTGCTGACTGCAGGAGAAAGGGCAATTTTTATAAAGAGCTACAATCCTCTCGGCATGACAACAGGGAAAAGAATGTGCCAGAACCCAAAACTCACCATGCCTCACAGAGCACCACCGAGTTAAGTCAAGTTGAAAGTGATGCACCTTTTCAAGAACATGTCACATACTTCCTGAAACACCATCAAAGGCCCCCTCCCTCCCTCCACTGTATGAAGAACCTCCTCCACGCCAGCATTCAAAGCCCTCCTCAGGATGGACCCACGGGCCTCTCAGGGCTCCTCTGCCTACTCCTAATACAGCAGATCAGGGACTGGGTCGTAGGATGTATCATTCGCTCCACAAGTGGCTCTGAGCTCCTACTGAGTGCCTCACCACAGGCCGGCGCTTTGTTTGTGCTGGTCTCTTCGTGGAATCTCTTCTTTAACCTGTCTCTTTGTCCCTGACTCGCAACCCCCAACCATACCACACACACACAGTTCTCATCAAATACTGAAGTCCCACCTCACTCCAAGACCCACAGCGAACATTGCTTCTTTCCTTTGATCTTTTCTGATTTCTGTTCTCTCCTTCCTCTCCACTTCTTCTGACTCCAGAGTACTTAATACTTCTCTTTGGAGATGCATATTACATAATCAAACCTATTTTTTTTAATTTATTTCTCCTATCCCCAGCCCACGGGTCTAAAAGCATCATGAGAGTGGGGACTGGGAAGCATCATGAATATTAATTACATCCCCGTCAGTGCTCAGAGCATCCCTTGCCTGTTTGTAGGTGCTGTATGAACCTTGCTAAATTCATTTCTGTTTACTTAACTCATGCTCCATGATAATGACATCAAAAGCTGTGCTCAAACACTGAGACTGCATAGTTGCCCGCTGTGTCCCAAGCACTTACGCAGCACTAAGTAGGTGGCTATTAAAAATATTTTTATATTGGTTTCCCCAAGAAAACAGAAATAACTCCTCTGCTGGAGCATTGTGATACAAATCAACCAACCCAGGAAACTGATTAAAACAAACTGTTATTTTAGGCTCCTAGGATTCTATTAAAACGTCTCAGCCAAAAGGCTCTTTAACTAGAAAACTATTTACAAGTATACAAAAGAAATGATTCGGTGAAAAACTTGGATAATATTCTAAGTAGGTCAGGAAAAGGTGTAGAGTTGCTTTAAAATCTGAAGTTAAACTTAGCTTCATCCTATCTTAGCAAAACAGTGAGGATTGGGAAAAGCACAGGAAATGATGTCATCTGTCAAGCAGCACAGGGACTCAGCCCACAAACTGATTTCAATTAAAGCGGCTCATGCCAAGAGCTAATTTCCATTCCCACATAAGCAACAAAGCCATTTAGCTACTTTGAGATAAAGAAGCTAACAGTAGTTTAAAGAGTGACTTTATATTATTTGTTCAAATTGAAAAACAGAATGAATTCTTTCTGGAAAGAATGGTAAGTTTACATTTAAATGTAATATAATAAAAACCTCCCTGATATGCTTTTATACTTTTTTTTTTAACCCTATCTTTCAGGGGAACTTTTTCCAGCTTAAAATATTCTTTCTCCTTTAAAAAATAAAGCCACTTGGTCAGACTTGTGGCACAATGAGGCATGGTTAGCCCGGTGGTCCAAATAAACCAATGAATCATGAATCCTTGGGCCAAAGGGTAACAGGATCTTAATCACCCACTTTGCAACAAACATGTTTACCAAATTCACATTCTTTGTGAGTCTTAGATCTTCAGGGGAAAAAATATTTTCCTAAAGGTGGGCGCCATCACTCAGGATTTCTGTGGGGAATGAAAGGAACTAGGGATGTAGCGTCACTACACAGCAGGAACAGGTTCCAGATGGGCTTTATTTTTGATTGAGCCCTGCCATTGATGCACATTCTAAATTTCCTCTGATGTGACCAGGAATTCCAGATGTCTGTCAGTTAGGAGACCGAGCTCTACATCTCTGGAAGAAGCCAAATGGTAAGTAAGGGCTCCACTTAAACCCACGTGATGCTCTAAGTACCTCAAGTCTGAATATATTCCTCAGCTCCATCTGCGTTAAGATTTTACCAGAGACTGAAAATACTAGGGGAGTTCAAGTGTCAGTGCACAGACCTCTGCCGCGACATGCGGGCAGCCCCAAGGAGGACTTCCCTTCGAAGATGGGCAGACAGCCTCAAAGGCTTTCAAGTAGGGCTCTACATCCCAGAACTAACAGAAAATGTTGCCGTTAACCTGTATCCATACGGAGTCTCAAACGACTTATATGTTCATTCCAGGAGATGTCAGCCAGTCATTTCAGTTTGCCGGGCATCAGAAAGAGTCAAAGACACTTTCTCTAGATGATAGCCCAGCACAAACCAGTTCTTAAAATAACCAAGCAGAAGAGAACAACGTGAGCATGCTGCTGGAACAAGAGAGACGCGGGGCTGGCACTTAGGCCTAAAAGCAACGATTCTACCTCACGTAATGATTTTCTTTGGGCTGCATTAGATTGGGAATGAGTCTAAAAACTTCCATTATCTTGGCAGGCGCAAGGGGCTGAACGATCCTTGGGAGCAATTTGCAAATAATCATCTGCATGACATGTGATTTTAACTCAGGCACTAGGAAAAGTACAAGACAAATTAAACAGCTAGACTAACTCCTGGACTCAACACCTGAGACAGCAGTCTACAGGGACAGCCAGAGTCATCGCAGGACAAAAATGATTTTCAGTGGGAGAGGTAACAGCAATGACGTTTTCCTTAAGTGCATACACAGCCTGCGGTGCCTAAAGACACAACATTCAAAAGGGCAACTTCATTAAAGTATCTCAAAACAAAACAAAACAAAAAACTAGCAGAGCTGGAAAAGGTCCAAAGAAAGACAAGTTACATGATAGCAGTGATAAAGGCACTTCCATAGAAGCCAGACTAGAAAGCAAAGAACTCAACTGTTTCTGCGGACAAGTCTGAGCAGATTCCATCCACTCCTCTCCTGCCTGTCCAGATAAATCTCACACTTTCCTGGAAAACTTTTCCAAGGGTCACTTCTTCCAGACTGGCTGCACCTCCACCCTCCCATCCACTGAGTGTCCTCATGCCTGCAGCACGTGGCTGCACCACCTCTGCTCAAACTCACAAACACCCTACTCTACAACTGTCCCCGTGGCCTCCCTACACCCTTAGAGCTTGGATTCGTGCTGGGAGTATCAGTGCCCCAAACTCTAACTGAACCGACATAAATTAAAAATGATAAACTATCCAAGTACAAGGGACTGCAAAAAGTAAAGATGTCAATACCCCCAAATTGAGACACAGGCACAAACAACTCCCGTCAAAATCCTAGAAAGATTTTTTTCTCTAGATACAGACAAGATGAACCTAAAATGAATATGGAAAGAAAGGGAAGGGAAGTAGAATAACATCTTTGAAAAAGAAGAATCAAGTGGGAAGAATCAGCCTACTCAGTTTTCACAGCTAACCATGTAGGTGCAGTCATCAGGACTTGTATGGTCTGAGAGAAGGGAGAGAGCCACATCAATGACAAAAGTGCAAAAGTAATTCAATGGCTGAAGGATAGCCTTTCAGGAATACAGTGCTTAGAGCAACTGGACACCTACTAATATCAACTCGACCTCATACCTCATACAAAAAGTACCTCAGCATGGATCACAGACGTTTCGTGTGAGATGTAAACTTCTATAGCTTTTAGGAAAAAACTGGAGAAAATCTTCAGGATCTAGGGCTCTGCAGAGTTCCCAGACTTGATACCCAAAGCATGACTTCTTCCATCAAAGGAAAAATTGATAAGTTGGACTTGATCAAATTTTAGAACTTTTGCTCTACTAAGAAGATGAAAAAGCAAGAGCCAGAGTGGGAGAAAATGTTTTCAAATCACATATCTGACCACAGGCTAGTATTTAATATATTAAAGAACTCTCAAAATAGGAAAATAGCAAAGAATCCATCAAAAATCTAGGCAAAAGACACAAAGAGACATTTCACTCAAAAAGACATAGACAGGTGACAACTAAGCACACGAAAAGATGTTCAACATCATAAGCCAGCAGAAAAATGCAAATTAAAACTACAATGAGCTATCACTACCAACCTATCAGAACAGCTAAAATTAAAACTAGTGACTGGTGCGGTGCAGAGAAACTGGGTCATTTATACATTGCTGGTGGGAAAGTTAAATGGTACAGCCACTCCAAAAACAGTCTGGCAGTTTCTTAAAAAGCTAAATATGTAACCTCCATACAACCCAGAATTTGCATTTCTGGGCGTTTATCCCAGAGAAATGAAGACTTTTGTTCACACAAAAACCTGTACATAAGTTGTTCACAGCAGCTTTGTTTGAATAACCAAACTTTCTCGAAAGAACTCGGATTTCTTTCAATGGGTGAATGGCTAAGCACACTATGGTACAGCCACAGCATGTAATGCTCCCCGGCAATAAAAAGGAGCAAACCACTGATATCTACGACAACAACAGTGGGATGAATTTCCAGAGAGTCACACTGCATGAAAAGAGCCAGTCCCAAAAGGCTCCACACTATGCGATTCCATTTGTATAACATTCTTGAAATGGCAGAATTATGGAAATGGAGAACAGGCTAGTGGTTGCCAGGATTCAGGAGACTGTAGGAGGAAATGACTATAAGAGAGTAACATGAAGGGTCTTTATGGTGATGGAAGCGTATCAAGTATCTTGACTGTATCAACGTCGGTATCCTGGCTCTGAGGCTGTGAGGCTGTGATACAGTTTCACAAGATGTTAACACAGGAGAAATCTCTCTGTGTTATTTCTTACAACTGAATGCAAATCTGCAATTATCTCAAGTTTAATTTTTTAAATCCTTTTAGAAAGCATAAAAAATAAAACAGGATGAGCATGAAATTGATCTCCAAAGTCTAAAATATGAAATTTAGGGAACAGCTTTTATAATAACATGTTGTATACTATTTAAGAAGATAACCTAGTTTATATTTATATATATTTAAGAAGAGTTGGAATAAATTCATAGATCAGTCACCCACGATAGGGCTTTATGAGAATGAGGGTTGCTAAGGATCCACCTTTAGCCTCAGAGACTGAGAGAGCAGAGAACAGTCCTAACAGACCTGGAGCTGAAGCCGAGGAAACCCACTGTGCTGACTCTGTCTAGCCGATCCTCTTTTTCGCCCTGGGGCCTCAAATGACCGGTGGCAAGACTCCCAATAGGTTAAGGGTAGCCATGACTTCCTGGTGTCCAAAGGAATTGCTGGCTGGCAGTTTGGACTTCCTGGAAATGCCATCTCTCATTCAGGCCGCTAAGAGGTCATTTTCTATTTTAAAAGTCACAGGACATAAGTTGAAAACAATCTGAAAGAAAAACCTTCCTTTCATTCTTTTTATTTTCAAATGAGAAAACTCAAGCCTCAGAGGTGCTGCAACTTGCCTTGACCTCCTTGACTTCATCACATAGCAAGCATACAGTTTCTTGTAGGAAATATTGGTAAAATGGTCTCAATTTACTCCCTCCCAGAAGAACCACGGGGAGTAAATGCAGACATTTCACTGAGTTGGACTATCCTTCTGTCAGCAGGAGAGTTAGCAGAGCGATCTGCCCACACTTATCATCTACCACACCCTGGCCAGGAAGTTCCATAGGATGGCAGAGCTGTTCCCCAGAACACAACTTCAAAAGATCAGAAGTGAATTCCGATCATCCTCAGCTACCCTTAATTTAAAACATTCTGCCATCTAGCCATCTGGACATTATGAGTTCAGGTAGAGTCCAAGCCAATAATTTTAAAGGCTCCAAATGTCTCAAAAACTCTGATGAAACCAGATCCATCCCCTCACACTACTCTCATCCACAAGCTGCTTGGGGACTCCGCCCAGTGTCCGAGTACCATAGATGGACCCAAACCTCCTCAGAGAGCACCACCCAGATGCCTTAGACTTCAGCCTCTCCCCTCATCCGGCCCCCAGGGCCTTACCACTACCTTCCTCCTACCCCACTGCCAGCGTGAAGACCACTAGGACCACGGCTTTTTCCTTAACATCCTCTCTCCACATCGCACGACTTTTACTTGACTAAATTATCAGCATCTCACACTGTCACTGAAGACCAGCTGGATACCCAGTTTTGCCATCTGGCTATATTTTCTTTCCTCAGAGGAGTGCAGTGCTGTTGGTTGGTCCAAGGACCAGTCTGAAGGATGGTTCTATTCCCAACCTGATATGTAGCCTCGTTCCCCACTCCCAGGATCTCACTCCTCAGAAGCACCCTGGAGGTCTTCCTGACAGAGATGGAAACATCTGACACGTTCCTGAGAGTACGGCCACCTGGTGTCTCCGCCTCGTCCTATGTCTCCTGCTCAGGTGCTCCTGATATGTAGAATGAACCTACTGCTGCTTGGAGGACACATTAAAAACCAAGCTGAGATCAAGTAAGAACACGCCCCACTCACTGCAATAAGCCAATGAGTCCCAGGCCCTAGGGCAGTTTCTATCCTGATCTGCAACTGTCTTGATTTAGTACTAGCCTGTCTCTGTTTGGTTTCCACCAGAAGCGAATTCCAAGACAAACTCAAATTTGAGTCGTTTATTTTAGAAATAACTTCAGGAAACACTGGTAAGAGACTGGGAAAGTGAGACAGGAAAGAGAAGGAAGCTAATAAAGTACATTATAAAGCCTATTCCTACTGTGGGCAGCTGGGCTCAAAGCCACTAGGATACTTCAGAAGACAGTGCAAAACGTACCTCGCAGTGATGCAAACTGGGAGACAAGGAAGCTTATCCAACACTCTCCTTGCATCATTGGTTAAAAGGTGCTTCTAGGGCCATTAATCCCCTCAGCCTTTCCAGCTTGCCCCACATGCTCCCTGGCCACAAAAACGTGACAAAGCTCTCAGGCAGAGTCACTTGCGTTCACCCATGAATGCCAAGGTGTGAGTGGGCACCAAGAGGGTCTGCTACCCTGTACAACTTGCCCCCTCCTGTTAACTGATTTATGAGAGCCATGGTTAGATGTTAGGACTCTTAACAGGTAACGAACCTTGATCACACTGAAGTCTCTACTGGCAATAGACAAAAGAGAAAGCACTTATTCTGCAATATTTTTCTCCTTAAAACCTTGTCAAAACTAGTGGGGTGGGTATAGCTCAGTAGTAGAGTGCATACTTAGCATGCATGAGGTCCTGAGTTCAATCCCCAGTATCTCCACTAAAAAAAAGAGATAAAGAAGTCTATTTAAAAAACAGTTCTTTTAAAAAAAAAAAAAACTTGTCAAAACTAGAACACACTGTAAGAGGAGTGTGTTTTCACACCAGAAATGAGAAATGGAAAAGGAACCTAAGATTTTTGCCTTGGAGATGATCGAGGTGCTGAGGGGCTGTTTCTATAGACATGAACTCCAACTTTTTTTTAAAAAAACAACCAATGATGCGTCTCCTTCCCAACCCCCACATTTCCCCTAATTCACTGCTAAGCACACCCTACATTGAAAAACAAAAAAAACCAGAGGACAAGCAAGCAAAGGCTCTGAATAATGACCCGTGTATTCATTTGGCATCACAGAATGAACAAAGCGGTAAAATTCTGAAAGGGAAAACACATCTGTGCTTCACGATAAATCACCCCCAGGAACCGCCATAAGGACTGCTTACGTTTTCTTCTTGCAAAGGCCGGGATCTCAGGTTGTAAAAAGTGTTTAATCAGACTCTTATTGCAGTACCACAAGGAAGAATGCCTAGTTTTCTTGAGCCAAAAATGTTCATTAACAACTCATTTCATTGAGCATCTTTTATGGTGTTTACATTGGAGACACACAGATGAATAAGGTGATGCTTACACAGAAGGAAGCCATAATCTTTGGATTATTCATAGTAACTATGTCCCATAGGTAATTTCCCTATAAAAAGTGAAGAAGGGAAATGAGAGGCCAGATTGAAGAAAACCATTCCAAGTATTTGGGGCAGAACAGAGAAGGCAGATGTTCTAATGAAAAAATGTATTGCAGGCAAGAGAAAAGCCAAAAGCAAATTTAGGAGAAAATAGGGCATAACCACATAAAATAATATTATATATAATGACATGTTATACTCACTGGATCTGGAGCCACAGGAAGGAGCTATCTGACCAGATGGGCAAGTGCACATATTTGGCCTAGAACAAAATCCATCCCCACAGGAATGCCGGCAAATGGCTGTGAATAAAATCAGAGGTCTGTTAGCACATGGCTTCAGGACATGGTTATTTACAGGGACCCAATCCTCAAATGGGGAGACCGGGGCTATCAGCTTCCTCGTCAACTGTGCCATTATGACTTATGTGACCTTAGGTTTCTTCATCTGTAAAACAAATCTGCTGGACTAAATAAACTCAGGCTGTAAGATTTGGTAACTGCCTTATCCATCTCAGTGGTTCTCCAGCCTCTCTTTGTTTATTCCACAGCTTTTAGTCTTTCAAAAAGCCCAGGATATCCTATGAAGGGGAAACAAAACAAACACAAATCCTGCATGTATATATGTATACGTATGTATGTGTGTGTGTGTGTGTGTGTGTGTGTGTGTGTATTTCATATATGTATATTCTATCTTTATATTAACATTAAGATTTTATGATAGAAAAACTGCAGCAGTATTCTTGGGAGCCTATTTTTTGTAAATGCTTACTGTTTAGTCATTTTTATAAACATACTGTTCTCTGCTAAGACCACTTCCCTACAACAGATCTTGCCAGTTGAGAACACAAGATCCACACAGCAACTTTTATCCTGCTGTGAATTACATAAACTGTGTGGGAGGAGATGTGTGCAATCCACTTCAATAGGATTGATTCTACTGTCAGGAAGCCATTCGTCTTTTAGAAAGGTAGTAACATTTTCATGCCAGGCAAAGACTAATATCCTACTGGTACCAAATGCTCTGCTAGTGACCAAAAGAATACGTTTAAATGGCAAATGGCTCATATTTTTCAGAAGACTAGGGGTCGGTCACTACTTTTTATACTCATAGGCATCACCCTTCCCTCAAGCTCCTCCACAGCCTTGCAAGAGGCAAATGATATATGCAAGGCTAAAAAGAATACCCTTGACAGAAAGTGCCCTGAAGCATTAGAAGAGCTTAGGACAGAGACTGAAAACCATACGAAATAAGCTGTCAAAGGATCCTGTGCGTGTTTATTTAAACACCCGAAGTCAGCATTTCTCAGAGATTCTACAGAACACAAGGGAAATTTTCAGGTTTTGTTGTCAAATTCATTGAGAAAACTCCAAATACCATTACATCCCTCTCTAGTGATTCAATTTAGATCTTGAAATAAACCACAATGAGCCAAATGAATAAGCTGCTCTTAGTCAAAATCAAGAATGGGGAAAGGGATTCACTTTTCCAGGTCACCAAGAGAATGTTGTTTGAAATAATCTCTTCTTCTCCACAGACCATTCACGGCCAAAAGAGAAGAGGGAATTAAGTGCTCCCTTAAGATCCTTTCAGTCTTCAATTTCCCCATTATGCTAATGAGTTTTCTGAAAACTGAGAACTATTTCACAATTCACCTGTAAATTCATCATTTACAGTCATCACCCTGGAAAAGTTCATGGAGGACAGATGCCATAACTAATTTGACTTAGGATCTCCATTAACTAGCACCGTGTCTGGCATGTGGTTTGTCATTCACCATTTGTGGGACAGGATGAGAATCTGGAGGTTGCCATGGCAGCTGGGGCAACAAAGGCATCTCTGGTACCATCTGAGTTCTTCCTCTAGTCTTTCCCCTCATCTCCATCTGATGCTCCATCTGCTTCCTTTCCCCTTTATCTAAACTTAGGTCTGCTTTTGGCCTCGACCACCCAAATTCAACATACAAGATTTGGGTAGATTTGTGGGTGGCCAACAAAGTTAGAAATTATAATAAGGAAAACAGCAATGAGAAACTTTTTTTTTCAAAACCTCATCAAAGTGATAATATAGTCCATGCAGCCAGGAACAACCTATGCAATGACTCGAAACCTTGATCAAAGTATCTCCGTGGCCCTGTTCCCTCTATCTCAGAAACATTCTCAAGAAAGTCACTGCATTAAAGTGTAACAGTGGTGTGACCAAGTTAACATAGTTCCCAACCTGGATTCAGAGAAATTAGGAAAATCTCCCAGCTGGAAGTCTCTGCTATAAATATATCAATGATAAACAGTTACAAAGGACCAAATGCTAAGAATCACCATGCAACCAAAACAACAGACAAAAAACATGCAAAAGTGACAGGTTATCTATTTACTTACGGACAATACACTGATTTCCACCGGGTAAGGTTTTCCATCCAGGGCAACAGTAAGCATTATAACGTGATCCACAGACATTGGGTCTGAAATAAAAACAAAAAAAATTCAATCACAGGAATTCCATACTTAAAAAAAAAACAGTAGCATATGACCAAATAAAAGGAAAAAACTCTTGAGTTACTAAAACAGTATGAATCTTTGCAGACAAGAAAAGTAAACTCATGGGACTCAATGCTGGCTTAGCAGTTTGGGACACTTTAACATAATGATACCAATCAGGATGTGCTTAATATCATCTATGCATATCGCACACCAAGAAAACAAAAACCAGAGACACAAAATCCAGTGCTTCCTATCACCATGCACAGATGTAAAAATTTTGGAGCCATGTGAGTCTAGTTGAAACAATAAACTTACCAATCTAGTTTTAAAAATCATCATAAAATCTCCTGAACATAGGATTTTAGATTTCTGCTCACTGAAGTTGTATACATTTTTTCCTATGGTCCCGCTCACCTCTAAAATGTGACTGCATTCTTCCTTTCACCAGAATTACAGGAATGCAAACTCTGACATTAGTCAGGAAAAATTAAAGCCAAAAGATGTAAATATTTCTTTAGCCAAAGTTTGGAAACATAGTTACAGGAAAATAAAGTTAATGTCACTCTGGGTTTCTTGTTTACAGACAGTTGGTCACATGTCTTGGAGCAAAGCTTCCACTTGTGATCCATTCAGGGTCCAGATGATCCATATGCAACAATTTAAGAGGGCAACTGAGTAAAGCGAATTTTACACGAGAAACAAAGGCAGGGGGTGGAACACACAGAAAGAAACCATTTCTTTCACCTTGCCACATCTGAGGGCCTAAATATTGATGCTAGTTCTTGGAGTTCAGGGGCTGATAAGGCAGGTCAAACGTCTTACAATCAGTTTCACAAACTAGGAGCTATCCCAAGGCTTGCTGGTCTAAACACTGCAGTCCCACAAGCATCAGTCTTTAAACACAACTGCAGAGCTACGACGTACTTTCAGTTAAGGTGCACTCGCACGTTCTCCCTGCACATGCACAGAGCCCTCCTGCATCTCCTCTGAACTCACTACGTTAACCACATGCAGGACTGGGAAGCAAGGTAAAGTCTTTGCCCTGCCCTGTACTCCTCTTACAGCCCCACAGAACCTGGAACACTCTGCAGGGCAAAATGCACTCTTCGGACCAACTGACGCTGAGGCCAGAAAGAACAGTGTAGTAAGAAGAATGGAGGAGCCAGGGAGGGGGACCAAAATATTCAACAGCCCAGGGCTTCTCCACGGCTAGACAGAAAATGATTGGAGAGAGGCTTAACATGTGCATGACCTTAGGGCCTCTCTGAGCCTTAGTTTCTCTACAATTGGGAGAATGAAATGTCTGCCTTGTCCACGTCACGTGTATGTACACATATCAGATGAAATAATGAACACAAAAAGCCTGCGTATGACAATGACAAGGAACACGCAGCAGCAGCAGCAGCAGCAGCAGCAGCAGCAGCAGCAGCAGCAGCAGCAGCAGCAGCAGCAGCAGCAGCAGCAGCACCAGCACCAGCAGCAGCAGCACCAGCACCAGCAGCAGCAGCACCAGCAGCAGCAGCATGGTGGAATCATCTGCCCTAAATTAGCTACTCAGCCAGAGGAACCAGAAGTGATTAAGGAAGAGAGACTTTATTAGGGATTCTAAGCCAAAGGCTCTCAATCCTTGGTTTCTCCTGTAATACAGTCGTGCCCCAAACTTCAGTTCAGAGTGCCCGGAACATCCTAGGGCAACTCAGAATTTTGGAAAGGGAAGAGGAAAGGGCAGGAGAGAAGGCTGGGGGCAGGGGGACACGCAAACCTTCCAAACTTCATAAAATTTCTCTCAATCTAAAATGCTAATCCAGGCCGAAGTCAACCACTTCCAAGCTTCCCACCAACAACAGCCCATTACAACAACTCCAGTGGATCCAGTCCAACCCCAGACCAAATCCTGGAATAGCTTCAGGGTACCCCCTGAGCCTCTGTAGGGTGTCCTGTGGTTGGAGCAACCATGTTTTCAAACAAAAAGCAGGATATATTGTCTGACAAGAATGAGTGCATTAATGGAATATTCATTCACATATAGCAGGGTGAAAAAGCTAAGGAAAAAAAAAAGGAGTCCAGAAGCAGCCATTAGTCCTACGTAGCAAGATATTCAAAAGGCTTTCCAAGGTATTTGAAAAATCATAGAAATAAAGACACTCTTTGTTGTTTCTTCAATGTTTTGAATCAACCTACAGACAAAACATGGAAGATGTTACAATTTACAATGGTTATAAAACAAAATGTAAATGTTTTAATCCTTCATGGGTCATAAATCCAGAAGCAAGTTGGAAAGAAAGGTATGGAGAGGAATAAAGCAGTTGATCCAAGGAATACAGTTTTAAGTATACAATGTTTTCAAATATCAATAACTGAAAGTCATTCTATAATTGTTTTTTTAAAATGGGAAGAAGACAGAGTATAAGGTATAGATATATCTAAGTGAGCTATGTCCCCATCTCTCATGGCAAGAAGTCAACAGGTACTGTTTAAATCCAGACACAGAAGCACAAGCACAGAACATGGTCATGGGGATAAATATGAGAAGAACTAAAACCAGAAATGGTTAAAACTGGTTGCCTTAAGAGATGAGAATCTGGAGAAGAAGAGAGAGTTCTTTTGCTTTCTCAATTAATGCCCATCCATAACCGTTCACCTTTAAAATATGTGCTGTCATACTTTGATCATCATCTTTTATTTAAAGTAACAATTTTACTTTAAAAGTATGACCTTCCTGGCCATCACCAAAATTCGACAAATAATAAATGCTGGAGAGGGTGTGGAGAAAAGGGAGCCTTCGCACACTGTTGGTGGGAATTTAAATTGGTGCAGCCACTATGGAGAATGATATGGAGATTCCTTAAAAAACTAAAAATAGGGCTATTTAATCCAGCAATCCCACTCCTGGACATGTATCTGGAGAAAATGCTAATTTGAAAAGATACATGCACCCTAATGTACACAGCTGAATTATTTGCAACAGCCAAGACATGGAAGCAACCTAAGTGTCCATCAGCAGATGAATGGATAAAGAAGATGTGGTACATTTATACAATGGAATATTACTCAGCTGTAAAAAAGAATGAAATGTTGCTATTTGCAGCAACATGGATGGACCCAGAGATTATCATACTAAGTGAAGTAAAGTCAGACAAAAACAAATATTATATGATATCACTTACATGTGGAATCTAAAACATAATACAAATAAAATTATTTACAAAACAGAAACAGACTCACAGACATAGAAAACAAACTTATGGTTACCAAAAGGGAGGGGTGGGAAGAGATAAATTGAGAGTATGGAATTAACAGATGCACACCACTATATATAAAATAGATAAACAACAAGGATTTACTATATAGCATAGGGAACTATAGTCAATATCTTGTAATAAACCATAGTGGAAAAGAATCAGAAAAAAAGAATATATATACATATGAAAACATATCTCATAAACAGGGTACATTCTGCTTCATCAGAATGAAACAGTCTGTACTGTTCATTTTCATTTCACTGCATTTCTTAGAATTTTATAGAATGTTGAATTATGATTTATTTCGTTTGCATGCTCTGACTTTTTTGAGTTTAATAACTTTGTCCTTTATAATAAGTAATACATGATTTAATTTCAACGAACATCCTCAGATGACAGTTGCTTCCATCTCATTACCATTCGTTCTCTAATGACACTACATACTATTATGTCTCATGGCTTAGTGCAAAGTATTAGAAAGGTGTAAGATTTCTCCACTGCTGACTTCGGTCTTGAGAACTGCAAACTAACAGAATAGGTTCAAACAAGCTGGGTGGCACTTGTTCTCCTTATACACAGACAAAAAAAAAAAAACAGCTTTAATTCTTGAAATAAATGAATGTCTTATTTAAGTTGGAAAGCACTAAGACATGTAAAGACTGAAGTAGACACGCTGGAATACTTTCATTACAAAAGATTTAACTCTAAGGTTTCAGTGCAAAAAGCATTAACAAAGAAGACAAATCTTTAATGAAGCGATTTACTTTTTGTGTGTAAATCAAAGTGTAACATTCATACCTCTTCCTCTTCTTTTTCATTTCATCAGCCCTGCCCACCAACCCACAACCGAAAAAAAAAGTCAGAGCTAGAGCTCTGGGCAAGTGGCAGTAGCATTCAGTAAATCAAAGGTTAAATTCAAAGGTAAAAAAATATACTAAGTGCTAAAGATGTATTCATTCACCTTCATGCGAACCTTTGAGCTAAATTCTATTATTACTGTCTTTTACAGCAAGGAAACTATGACTGAGGAAGGTTAAACAAAGTGGCCAAGGTCCCACAGACTGGAAGTAGAGAATGGGGGTGTGAACTCAGGAAGTCTTATTCCGGAGTACTGCCTAAGTCCCTATGTTAAGGCAAAGATGGGTTCAGAGGAGAAGATAATATTCAGCCAGTAGCATCATGGTGGCATGAGTAACAAAAATCACAAAATGTCCACCAGTAGACAAAAGATAAAGTATAAATTGTTTTTTACTTGTATCCTAATAGTTCACAGGGGAAACAGGGAGACATGTTTATATTCCACTTTACTGCTGTAGATTACAGGGTTTTCATTGCTAAGTCTTTCTCTGTCACTTTTCCCACCAGTTGCTTTGAATATTGTGCTCTGCAGCAACCCAACTACAATGACTGTGGGGGAGGGGTGAGCCGCAGCAGGCTGGCTGTTTGGAGCCAGTTCAGACACAGCACTCAGAGATTGTGTGGGCAAGCTGAAGGCCCTCTCAATGGAGCAAACAGCTGGGCTCTACCACGTCTGACCACATCATGGCAAGAACTGGCCTCTGTGCAAGATGTCTGCAGTGTGTCCACGTTCTTCAGCCAGAACCCTCTTTTGTGAGTCTGGCCTCTCTTACAGCCAGAGAGCCTTTCGGCTTCCTATCCCACGTGCAAACTCCTTTTCAGACAAGACCGGAATAGTAAAAACAAATCCAAGGGGCTCTTATTTCATGTGCATGAGTTTC